AGCTGGACGGAAAAAATGAGAATGGCAGTTACACTGTAAAATTGATGCTGAAGTGGAAGGGGAAGGTACAGTAGGCAAAAAATTTACACCTTAGCTAAACACTTCCTTGCTAATGGTGCTCACACCAGGAAGTGTTAATAGCTCTTCCAAATGGCCACACTCAAAGGCAGAGTGAAAAGCCTGCCATCAGGGAGAGGCAGGTGATCAGATGAATGTTTAGCCAGATATAAACCATACAGGAAAGTCAGTCCAGGCGAGCCCAAAACTTTTTTGGCCGACAATAGTCCAGATTGCATTCATTTGAACAGGAACTTGCATGTCTGTGGCCGCATGCAAACAGCCACAACATCTGCAAAGCAGAAGGTATATGTGGCACTGAGATATTATGTTTGAAGATTTCTACATTTCCACTGGAGTTAATTTTGATTGACCACAGTTCTGGACCACTGTTGGATATCACTGCTCAGTTTCTCCAGCTTTCATTCACAATAATAATAATAATAATAATAATAATAATAATAATAATAATAATAATAATAATAATAATATTTTGATACCACGCACAAAATCTTGCTGCACTTGCTGGGAGTGAGCTGTGATCTTAAACATCACTGACCATAAACAGCTTTGAAGTTTGTTCCACCGTCACTCAGAGGACCTCACCCGGTGTCTGACATGCAACAACATCAACAACACCACTAGTCTATATGAAAACTCCGACACTTAGGTCTAGAACTCTCTCCACACTTCATTAAACTTCATTTTACCAAGGTGCAGACATAAGCAAAAGGGTCTCGCTATTTGTGAGGAGAAACAAAATGGTGAAACATTCATCACTGTGATCTGAAGAAGTGCTTTTAAATATACAACAAATGAACAACACAAACCAAAGTCATGATGCAATAGGTGATTTTTCTATCTGTATTTTGCCTTGTTTTCCTGTTAGTTGATTTTCTGAATATATATCAAAAACTATAAAACATCCCAATACATGCTGCAATGACTTCTAGCCAAGTCAGCAAACTACTTTATGTCCTGTGAGGATTGCAGGATGGTTATGGTACCCTTCACATAGTCACACAGCCCAATGAGCTCACACTAGACTCCTGTATGGATCGACCTGTGCATAGCTCACATCATAACGCAACATCCACACTGGGAAGAGTAGGGGGTGGGGGCTGATTAAGCAGTATATTGCATCTATTTTACATAGATTTATTTATGTGCTTTTACAAATCAACAACATGCTTTCTTCCCATTAACAATAAACAGATATGAGTTATTATTAGTGACAGTGACTCCTGTGCATTATGCAACCCCCTCTCTTTTAATAATGTTTAGAGCTGTCATTTTGTAAGAGATGAACAGCATGTTGTGTGCACAGATTTAGCTGTGGGTGGGTGTCATAACAGCTGGCAGTCAGCTGTGTTGTGACAATCAGAGTGATGTCACAGAAATAGGTTGCTCATAAAAATGGGTGAACTTTAACACTGCTTTCTTCACTGCAGATTGCTTCCATTTGCCCTTTGCTTTTTCACTGCTTGTGGTGGTTTTAGAGATGTCAGCCAGCCAAGCCTCAGGCTGGATACACATATATAATCTGACAAAATATGCGCAAAATAAGTGTTGCACAGGAACAAATGAGATGAAGAAATGTGTGAAAATGTGACTAAAAATACTCTTTCAGTAAAAACTGGTTTATTATCAAAACAGCCATATAAAAACCCTGAAGGATAATCCTAGTGTATTACAACCTATGTCTTAATTTTTATTAGTTTCTGTAATTATTTCTATCAGTTATGGTAACATTACACTCATCAAAGTAATAGTTGAGATTTGGGAACACATCACAAGAGCTGAGTCTGATGAGGTAAGAAACAAGCGGTCAGACAGATATAAGCCATGCACAACTAAGGCAATTATGGGAGGTCAAATTTGAAACAGGAAGTCTGTAGTGTCATGGATGTTTATGCCACTGACTGTTGACACGGTACAGCTGTATTTTACCGTTTACCTTTTTTTTTTTAAACCTACATGATTGTCTGACTATTCTTCTTACCATATATTATATATTATCAGAATTATTTTTAGTGATGTTAAAACATTACAGGTCTCAGGTATTAACACAGCGTGTACAGTGTTACCATAACCAACAAAAATGGTCAAAAAAAGGACACAAGTTGTAATAAACAAGAAGAATCTTTTTAGCTAGCCCTAGCCCACTTATGTGAACCATTTCCTGTCACCCTCTCATTCATCTTAATAATATCTGCCATTAGATTAGCTTTTAAGTTACAGTTGTACATCATCACCCACTGATCAACTGGTGACTGCAAAGTTCATACCCTGATGCCTCCACCTCTCCTGCCCCCGTTAGCCTCCTTGAGCCTATATAACAGATGGGTCCGCTGCATCGTTTCCATCCTAACTCAAACTCCTCTGTGACCAGCCCTTCTGATAATTAAAACCGATGAGAATATTAAAAGAACGAAGCGCATGGAGAAAGCAGACAAAAATACCACGGACCAGATGCTCAGTACACTCTGCCCTCTTCACTGAGATGCAAAATGGAGCAGATAATAAAATGAGCACTGT